GGGGCAGTGCACCCACCGCCCCAAGCTCGGGAGACCGGCGAGCCGCGGCCGTGCGTTGGGAGGCCGCTCTGCTAGCTGCTGGCCGCTGGGACGCTGTTCTCCTTCTGGCTGATTGATGCGCAGATTTTTAGACTAAAAGGTTGTTCGCGCCATGCTGGTGGTTCTGGAAGGAAACGCCGTAGCAGGTCCATGGAAGGCGCTGGGTCACTGAGCCAGCACCTGGCCTATTGGCGCAGGCGGAGGTGAAGCGGGATAGTCGACAGCAGCCTAGGAAAGACATGGCAGTGACAGGGTTGGGAGGCTGACGCCAAACGCAGCCACGTCTGCCTCCGTCACTTCCCAGGTTGTTGCCAAAGAGAAGTGCAGGGTGGTAAAATGCTCTCTCAGCTCACGGAAAGCCCCACTTGAACGGACATGGTAGCATCAGTGTAGCATTGTGGAAGTATCGATGGTTGGGTGTGACTCCCAACGGGCCTTTGCACACACGCTGTGGCCGTTTGTCCGTGCGACTGGCGCGTAGTGGGTATGGCTGAGCGTGTCCGGAGCTGGAGCTGCAGTAGCCAGGTCGATTGTGCAGCTGCGTAACCAGTCCCCCACGGAGATGCACGCTTGGCTGTGTCAGACTGTGCCCTGAGAGCCAGGAACGCGTTCCTCTCTTTTCCAAAGATCCCGTCCATGCAGCTCTATGCCACAGCGACGGGAGCAGGCTCTTGTATTTGTAGCGATCGTTTGACTAAGGGGACGGAAAAACGTCCCAGCGGCTCTAATTGGGAGGGCAGCGGGGAGACGCGCGATCTCCTGCCAGCCAGCCATCTAAAGCCTATTGTGCTAATGCCACTTTGGAAACTAATTTTGAAAGAAGAAATTCTTTCCATCCACTTCTGCCTGCTGACGCTTTACAATGCCTGGGGCGACAGGAAGGACTCAGCTGTGCAGAGGGTGCACAGAAAGCCTGGCAGCTACTTAGGCCTAGAGGAAAACCTAAATAATGTGGCCTCTTCCATTGGAGCCCATTGTCAGCAATCGCACAGAAGGGGCCTGCGCTCATCGCTCAGTGTGCGCACATGGAGAAATCCACAATGCAGAAGGCCCGCTTCAGCGCTCTGCTTTCCTTCAAGCCCCTACGCTCTCTGGAACGGGCGGTGATAGGCCTTGAACTGGGCACCCTGGCAGCACGATGGCCTGGCGGGGGCGTGTTTACTGGTGCATGAAGGCGCTCCCTGTCGTGTGTCACTGCACCTGTACAATGGGTCTGCGCCATTGACCATGTCCTTTAGCGCTCGCTCTGCCCCCTTTCTAAGCGGACCCCTCGTTACCACTGCGATTTGAAACTCTTGGGCAGACTTCTAATAAATGTCGTTGTGGTGCAGACAGTCTGTAGTGAAAGTGTGGTGCATGTTCCCATTTGTTCCTGTCCGCTCTGCTCCATGCAGCAGCGTGCAGGAGTCCTCCTAGTGCCTCCTTGGGCTCGCCACAGCAACTGGCCAGTCCCAAAGTGCTCGTGTGTCTCAGGAACGGCAGACACGAAGGCACATCCACACACTCCTCTTCTTACCACACCCTAGCCATGCCCCTCCCAACACGGCCCACCGTGGGCCTCAGCTCTTCTGTGGGATTCCCTGTTGGGGATCCAGGGCCAGGCAGCTTGATGGACGATCATGAACCTTTCTAGGTCATTGGGATGGGCGTGGCTTTGGCAGGAGGAGCCAGAACCGAGCACCAGAGATTCTGGAGGCAGCCCCGTCCCTTTCAGGGTCACCAGTGTGTTTATTTTGAGGAGGCCGGGGGGTACGTGGCTTTTAAACTAGATTTCAAATTGACCATCGAAAGGCAAGATAATGGTGCACCTCTGAGGGGCTCTTTCCTTGGTAAGTGGGGGCTTTAGTCGTTGCATTAGCACTTGAGCCTTTCTCTCGTCTGACCTTTGTGTTGCAAAGCGGCGTTGTCTGTGAGCCCAGCGCTTGTCGGGCCCCGCTGCCATTAAGGCCCATCCTGCCACAGAACTGACTGGAAATCTCCCGCTCGGTTTCAGCCGGAGCGTGCCTGGCTTCAGAAACGCCACTTCGGCGGCGGCGGCTGGAGAGTTTTGTTCCTGTGTTCAGTGGGCGAGTCCAGCGTTTCTAGAGCATTAACGTGTCTGTCGCCCCTCCGCTGTTCCTGCTCACCACACGATCCCTGGGTTTTTCACTGTTAAATGAAACCTTTCGCCTCCGGCTGTTCAAATCAATGTGTGGCGTTTGGTTGTACCCAGCATTGCCTCGGGGGAGAAAAGTACAATGGTATTGCATTGACAAGCCTTCAGTGTTCAGCCCAGAACCCCTCTGGCTCCGGGGCAGAACCACCAGGCTGTTGCTGGGATTCACAAACAATTGACTAGAAGATGAGGGGAGCTGGAGCTTTGACTCAAACATCGACACAGGTCACGTTGCCCTTCCAACATCCTGCTTGCTCCGGGAGGCAGAGTAGAAGGCTCCAAGGGACACTGCCTTTAATCCTCAGATTTGAGATGTCATCGGGGTGCAGGGAGAATTACACGTAGAGCTGTAGAAATAAGCCAGGAGAACTCGCACACTCGCATGGACACGCTCCATTGAGTCTTGTCCCCACATCTGTCCCTCTGAAGCATGCACTGGTTTGGTGGCAGAGCGGCTAGCGCAGCGGCTTCCTGGCACGGATGCTTTTTCTTAAGTAAAAAAGCCCCAAGCAATGATTGGGGGGAAACCTCCATGCAGAATGTACAAAGCAGAGAGAGCAGCTACGGCCCTTTACAGCAGCGGGAACCTGTTAGCACTAGGCGGGAGAGGGTCACGTTCCCTTCCTCCAATAGGAAGCAGCACAAGCGAATACCATTGTCAGCGTTAATGACGGCAGCACAGTCTGATCTCTGGGCAGGCACTTGGCAACGCCTTGGGAAAGGGCCAATTCGGTGCAGTGCTGAGAGCCCTCAACTGCTGCCGGGAGCCAAGTGCCCTTAATTCCCATGGGCGCCATGGAATTGATGGGAACTGAGGGCGCGCGGCGCCTTGCGAAGACTGAGCCAGGCGAGCGTTGTCCAGCTCCGTGCCTGTCGGTGCGTAGCCCAGGCGCCCGCCTCTGCAGGCCGTAGCGCTGGGAGGAGGAGCGATCGTTCCTTTGCCCACCCCCCTTAGCTGGGAATTACAGCTGGCTCAGACCCTGCAGCGTGCGCCAACCCCTCGCCCCTTTCCAGTGCCCCGCTCAGGTGGCAGGTGGGCTCCCGAAGGCCCGAACGACCCTGAATCAGCGGAGAGATGCGAGTCCCAGGCCTGGCCTCTGCGCTTCAAAGGGCAGATCCCAGGCTTCTGAGCCAGCAGGGCAGGTCAGCTAAAGAGCTGACAGAAGAGTCTGCACGCACGTGCGCACACACACGCTGCATGTGCACAGATACATGCACACAGAGACACGTGCTGTGCACACATACACGCTGTGCAGACATACACACGTTGCACACGTACACAGACACACACTGCATGGACACGCTGCACGTGCACAGATACACGCACACAGACGCGCTGTGCACACATACACGCTGTGCAGACATACACACGTTGCACACGTACACAGACACACTGCATGGACACACGCTGCATGTGCACAGATACACGCACACAGAGACACGCGCTGTGCACACATACACGCTGTGCAGACATGCACACGTTGCACACGTACACAGACACACACTGCATGGACACGCTGCACGTGCACAGATACACGCACACAGACGCGCTGTGCACACATACACGCTGTGCAGACATGCACACGTTGCACACGTACACAGACACACACTGCATGGACACGCTGCACGTGCACAGATACACGCACACAGACGCGCTGTGCACACATACACGCTGTGCAGACATGCACACGTTGCACACGTACACAGACACACACTGCATGGACACGCTGCACGTGCACAGATACACGCACACAGACGCGCTGTGCACACATACACGCTGTGCAGACATGCACACGTTGCACACGTACACAGACACACACTGCATGGACACGCTGCACGTGCACAGATACATGCACACAGACACGCTGTGCACACAGACATACACACATTGCACACGTACACAGACACACACTGCATGGACACGCTGCACGTGCACAGATACACACACACACACACACAGACACGCGCTGTGCGCACAGACATACACACGCTGCGCACGTACACAGACACACACTGCATGGACACGCTGCACGTGCACAGATACACACACACACACACACAGACACGCGCTGTGCGCACAGACATACACACGCTGCGCACGTACACAGACACACACTGCATGGACACGCTGCACGTGCACAGATACACACACACACACACACAGACACGCGCTGTGCGCACAGACATACACACGCTGCGCACGTACACAGACACACACTGCATGGACACGCTGCACGTGCACAGATACATGCACACAGAGACAGGCGCTGTGCACACATACACGCTGTGCACACAGACATACACACGTTGCACACGTACACAGACACACTGCGTGGACACACACGCTGCGCACACACTCAGACACACACGCTGCACACGCACACCCTGGACCTTAAATGCCATTTGCGACTGGCTGTGTAGACTCTCTCCCCATGAGCTGTGCTGGGTCCCGGGTTAAAGCTCCCCTCCACCCACGGGCACTGGCGCGGTTCCTTGGGATGGTTTGCTGCTGTGCGTGAGGCCCTTGTTGAAAAGAAATGCAACTTTATAGATTTTCGGATGTGATTTAATAAAAACACATTTTGGGGAAAGCGAGAGAAGCTTTGTTCTTTGCACCGTCTCTTGCGCCACCTGGTTCCCACGCCAGCCGCCAGGCGCTGCTGCCCTTTGCTGTCCAGCCCGGCCTCAGGACTTGCCGCGTTTCTGCAATTGCCAGCAGGCGAAGGTGTGCGGCAGCAGACGGCAGGG